CAGGTTGTGATTCCATGCCTGCAAAGTATTTCATTTGACGACCTGAGCAAGGCCTCTTCGGACTCTCCCTTTCCTCGCCTAGGGCTCCAATGAGTCCACAGTCGGAGTTTCGTGGACCTAGAGACCCCTCAAGGGATCCTTGTTAAAAATTATGCAGGGATTATTGGGCAAATATCTAAGCAGATACTACTTAGCACCTTCAAAGCCCCAACTTGGCTTCGCAAAACAAACTTAGAGCACTAAACCCTAAAACCAGAATCGCTTGTAGGTTCGGTTATTAGCTGGATACTGTGGATAAATATGGGAATACCAAGAACTCAAGTTAGGGGCGTTTGAAGTACCTATGTAACTATGGTGTACGACGGACCATCGTACTTGCACTATTTACGCTTCTACTTCCACATTGGAATTGGACGGAACAACTGGGATTGCTCCTAAACCCTAAACCCTCCACCGCATTTGTAAGGGCTTTTCTGCGCGGCACTAGTACACCCAATTCTGGTCGTGCTTAAATTGGCGCTGAGCCGAATAAGACAAAAAATCCTCCTGATAGGGTTTAGGGTTTAGGGTATTGCACTACAACAACTTTGGCTTAATCATAAGACTATCATGGCCCCCGCCCAATGCGCGCTCCCCGAAACTAAGAAGACCCAATAAGCTTTGAAGAGGCCTTTACAAGCCCTGTCGTCCTCAGTGATCACTCATACGGCCCTGATTGTGTTTGGGCCCATGTGAGCCCTGGACTAAATTTGTAGTATATCCCTTAATAAGTCCCCCTCAAAACCCTATAAATTCTCGCATAGGTCCCCCCAAACCCAAATTTAGTCCGTAGCTCATGTAGGTACTGGCAAAGGCCAACAGTAGCCCCATGATCAGACCACAAGAGTGATGCGGTTTAGGGTTTAGGGTTTGGCTTCAGGATAGTTCTAACTTCTTACCTAACATCCCCTAAAGACTTGACGCACGCCTCCACCTCTAATCTCTATCTCTCACATATGATTAAAAGTCACAATGTCCAATTTCTTCCTGTGTTTCAGTAGAAAGCCCAAACCAACTAAACTGTAGACCTGAACCCTGGCCCCTAGACCAAGTCAAACTCTCAGGACGTCCTTGCCCGCCATTTTCGGCAGAGCCATTACCTGAAGCAACTTAAGACCGTCAGGGCTTCGGTGTTCTCATACCCTAAGGGTCCAAGGACCCACATAATAGGGGTTTCGGGCCCAAATACCATTAATATTAAAGTATCTGGGCCCGAGAACCTTGTTTTTTTGGTCCTTGGACCCTTAGGGATAGACTGCCATGGGTCCCCAAAAATGCACCCAACCCAACTAATGAGGCCGAATAAGCCTTCAGAAGCCCTGATAGTCCCCAATAGCCCTGATAAGGTGCTCAATTTGCAGGGGCCCATAGAGGAAGCCTTCACAAACTCGATTAATCCCCAGTAGCCCCTGATGAGGTCCTTATTGTTTGGGGCCCATAGCCCTGAATCCTAAACCTTGAATCCTAAACCCCAAACCCTGATCTTTCCCATTGTTCCGATCGTTTGGCAAGGTGAATGGATCAACCCACATGATCGGTACCCGGCTAGACCATCAACCTAAGCAGCAGACACTCATCACACTAGACCCTATTTTAGGGGTCCAGATAGCCCGAAGTAGAATTATGTATAGACTTCAAGGTCCTACGCAGGTATCAAGTACAAGCTGACTGAAGCTACGGATCTTATGCCGCAACTCTACAGACAAGAAGCCAAACATGGCAGACCATGGGCCGTCCCCCTTTACAGAAAAAGGAGCAACAATAGGTAACAGAAGCAAACGAAGCCCATTAACGCAACAAAACTTTTGTGCGCACTTGCTTCGTGGGGCAATGGCTAAAGGTAGAGCGCTTAGGCCTGCAGCCGCCAGAGAGTTTAGGGTTTGACCCTCAACCCGCCCAAACCCGACTGCCATCTCGAAGATCCGGCCTACAGCTTCTAAATCCATTAACCCCTAAGCCTAGGGCTCAGGCTATGGTGTTACCCTAAAACCTGCAAACCCTAAACCCCTAATCGATACACTGGTGTTATCAATAGCAAAGGTTCCAAAAGACGGACGGAGATTGACTGGTTATGACTTGGGAATTGACCTTGACGCCGTATAAACCTCTACGTAAACCTAGTTTCCAGTTCACCGTCTGATTCTACGTTATGGCCCTCATCCAAACCCCAAGCCTCAAACCCTGGGGCCCTGAACCCTGAGCAAAACAACTTGAATCCCAAAAACCCTTCACCCTGAACTGTTCTCCCTCAACCCTCATCCCTCAACCCTCATCCCTCAACCCTCAACCCTAAACTCTAAACCCTACACCCTAAACCCTCATGTCTCAAGCCCTTCAACCGATTTCCGCCTTGCCGAGGTCGTGCAGCAAACCAACCAGGTGGAACCAATCAAACTCCTGGTTTAGGTTTTAGGGCTTAGGGTTTAGGGTATAGGGCTTAGGGTTTAGGGTACAATTAGGGTTTAGGGTTTAGGGTATAGTATAGGGTTTAGGCACAAATAACGAACTGAGCTTTCTACGATTACCACTACCTTACCCCTCTTGCTCTCGGTGCAGACTCTCCTAGTGCGACTTGAGAACCGCTTTTCGATTAAGCCCTCCGCCATGCTAGCCATTGGGGCTCTCCGGCTAAGTAAGGAAAGCTCACGGTGGATACCTAAAATCCCGCATGACCACAAGTGCCTCATACTTCTGGATCTATGTTGTTATAATGTACTAACGTGATGCAGGATTCTAAGCATCAACCGTAGGGAGAAGTTTTTAAGGAGGTGGCCAGGAAACCCTTAGCCGTAACCCTAAACCCACAACCTTCAACCCTCCATCCTACACCCTAAAACCTAAACCCTAAACCCCTAAACCCCTAAACCCCTAAACCCCTAACCCCTAAACCCCTAAACCCCTAAACCCCTACAACCCCTACAACCCCTACAACCCCTACAACCCATGACACGGGGCCTCCCCAGGCCACTGCTCGCGAATGCGCTCAGCAGTCTGGAAGTCGTGGATGGCTGAGCCCCAGGAGAATCCAAGGTGTAGAGGGCTTTGGGTTTTAGGGTTTAGGGTTTAGGGTTTAGGGTTCAGGGTTTAGGGTTTAGGGTTTAGGATGTAATGAAGGGGGCCTGTTGAACTACATGTGCTTGGTGTGTGTTTCGCAATCACCACAGAAAGATTACAAGGGGACAATACCGGCATTTCTATCAAAACTACACCCCATTCAGTAGCCCCCACGCCCCAAAAGGCTTCCCTACGTAGAGCCCCTACAAATGCTTGTCCATTTGATTCTCCACTGTTGTACCCTTCTTCATATATAGCTATGTACACTACGTATCCTTATTCTTAGAGAAATGTGTATCTTGGGATTGCCGTACCTAGTTCTGCGACCCGGAGGAAAAAGGGAAGTTCCCGGCAGCGAGTTGGAGCCTGGCATTGCTCCCACCCATTATTGCACAGTCAGGGTGGAGGATTCGTGATGGGTTCCCTAACCACCTCTACTACCCTCCCCCAAGGATCACCGCCCTTTCAGCCATTTTGCGGATAAATGCTGCCCCCCTCTACTGATTGAACAGCACTCTAGACGATCTCACGATTAACGCCTGGCAAGTACAATGCTTTTGGGGGACCTAGGTGATGCAAGGCTTCCTTTATCAACAGTAGAAAACCGGTGAAACAGCACTGCAACGTAGTTGTTTTTTCGAAGGCCCGAGCAACCTCAAGCCAGACCTGAAATCTCACGTCACATCCCACAGCTCATAATGCTGCGCGAGCTACTGTTCGGAATGTCCACATCTGGGTCCGAGTCGTCTACGAGGTCATCCAGCATGCTGATCACCTGTGAAGGAAGAGATTTATGGCTTATGACCATCCTCCTTGGGTAAAGACTGGCCTTTGGTTAGCTAGGAATGAAGGAATGGATCCCTAGTGTAGTCCCTATATAACCCCTGAATACTTTCCATTTTCTCTTCCATTCCTTCCAAACCCTAAACTCTAAACCCCAAACCTAAACTCTAAACCCTATAGTAGTTTCCATGTTCTTTTCCATTCCCAGCTAACCAAAGGCCAGAAGAAGAGCAAAGGCTGCAGAACACAGAGCTTACCAATCTTCTTCGGTGCTGCCAAGAAATTTTGGGCTCCAGTTACTCCGGGAGTAATGTGCAAGCTTATGAGATTGTGGATAGCGGTTGTCTGTGACTTGTTCTTTGCACGTAACAAAAGGGACTGCACAAACATGTACATGAAAAACCTCAACCCCTACCCCTGAAGAAGTGGATCCATTGAATGCTCGCGGAACTCAGGCTTCCAGAGTCATTGTGAATTGCTTAGGATCTCTTGTGCGGTCTTGGGGCCTTAATACGTATACTGACTTATACTATAACTTCTGTAATGTGGACTTTCCCAAAATGGCGGAACCCTAAACCCTTAACCCTCCAACTTCTGCAATGTGGGCTTTCTCAAACGGGGGAGTTTAGGTGCCTTTGAGGCATGCATTGGTAGAAGGGATCAAAGGGGGTCCCCCAGGGATGGTGGAAGGATCGCCTTTAGGTACTCCCATGTAGGGTTTAGGGTTTACCCCTACGGTTGCCCCAGAAGGACACTTGAAATCAGTCTACTCAATCTCCCTCGACAGGAATTATCGCAAGGGGCTTGAGGAGAAATTTGATCTTACTAGACTGAACCCTTAACCCTAAGCGACCTGCCCTGGAACGCCGGCTGATCAGAAAACTATACGTGAACAAATAAAGAAACAGACTATGTATCAGGCCTCATGTGGGCTATGCGTATCGATCCGCGCACTAGCTCTCTTGTGCTTTTGCGTCAATGTATGGTTCAGGGTTTAGGGTTGAGGACTTTTGTTGTGCGAGCAAAGTGCAGGAAGCATTTGACAACTTACACCTTGCACACCATTTAGAACATCAGCATGCCCAATTGAATCATGACGTCCCTCTCCCAACCCGTGCCCAATCCTCCATGATCGTAAACTCGCCCTTGTTGAACTTCAGCCACTTCTCCTGCTCGGCGCATGGAGCGTCATGGGGAAAGAACCCCGGAGTAAGAACTGCAGAGGTTGTCACAACGCGCCTCTCAGAATGGAACATGGCTCAAGTGTCCTGCTGCTCCCTCACAAACTCCACAGTCTGATTCCTGGGCACTGGGGGAGGAAACCACATGTTCCTGGGGATTCATCAAGGCGAGCTATCTCACGCATACGCGAACAGAAGATGAGTTCAAGTAACAAGTGTGCGCCTCTTACGGCTGTTGACTTTTGCGCGTAGCCCTACATACATACACATGCGTATTTTACATATAAATACTACCTTGTCATGTCCATCCCTTAGCGCAAGCTTTGTCTCAACAATGACGCAACCACCACCAACACCTAGAAAGTAGAAAGGGCATTCCTCGCAAAATGCAGACACAAGAAGAACTAGAGATACCAGCTTTTCATCCCTTGAAAACTTTCGTGCAATGCAGCCCGCTGCCGCTGCCCAACTGTTTTACTTTGGCACCCCTATGGAATCGCCTGAGCACTGATCCCTATGGCCACCCAAAACCACAGGTGTCCAAATGCCCGGAATCACATAGTTGCTTGACGTCTGTATTGCAGTTGCCACTTCCACAGTCCCAAAGACCCCATGATTCGGTACTTGGACCCTTAGGCAAACAGCCCTCGCATAAATCCACGGTCCAGACGCCGGTGCATGAGGCCATAGGTTGCGGCGACTTTCTCTTGGCGTGGCGAGCTCTCATAGTTGCCTTAGCTGCCCTTAGGACTGCTGTGAAACTTGGGTGGGTTTTATTGTTACTCTTGTGGTTGATGCTGTTGTTGCTGTATTTTTGCTCCCCTGCTGAAAATTAGGTTCACAATGGGAATAACGAGGGTTCCTATATTATTGGGGTTGTTAACCTACTTTCTAAGTCCTCGTGGCCCTGCCAATTACCACTTTAGGAGTATAGATGAAGATAGTTATAGAGCTCGACTCGCCAACGCCCCCTCAAGCACCCATACGTCATAGTCCACCCTGCACACTGAACCCTGAACCGCAAACTCTGAGCCCCAAGCCCAAAACACTTAATCCCAAACCCTACACCCTGAACTTTGAATCCCAAACCCTAAACCCTATAAACACCAAACGGTAAACCCTAAGCCTTAAATCCCTAAACCAATAACGCCAGGAGACGGAATTTGTCGCCGAACATGTTCCGGCCGGCCGGCTCGCCGGATGAGGCAGTGCTCTCCGTCTCATTTCCCGACCTGAAGCGTGGGTTCGGAGTTTAAGGTTTAGGGTTACCCAAGGGCTCCTATGTAGTTCCTTTTTGGGTCTGTTATGGTTTTTTGGTAAGGGATTATAGTATACTACCCAAAAAGGTACTACATAGGAGGGTCTGGGTAAGGGTTTCGGCATCAGGTTTACTGTAAGGTCTACGTAGGACTTCATTTTTCCAATTCAAGGATACAGTTGGATCCTATAGGGAGGCGAATTTCTAAAAACAGGGGCCCCAATGTAGACTCCAACATAGTACAATTGTCCCTATGGGTACCCGGGAAACACCCACCTTGGGGGGGGGGGGGAAACACGTGAGGAGAATGTGGAGTGGGGGGCTGCTACGAGGGACTGTTGGGGAATTATAGGGCCTAATGCACCCAAACATCTCTAAACCCTAAACCCTAAACCCTAAACGCTAATTAAACGCTAAACTCCCTTGCATGCACTTCCAGGAAGCTCCAGCCCAGCTGGAAGTTCTGAAGGGCTTAGATTCCTTCTCGGGATTGCACTAGGGATCCAAGTCTGTGAAGAATACTTGCCCATGAGGAAGGGTGAGTGCCCTGTATAAACCCTCAACCCTAAACCCTGAAACCTAAACCCTAAAACCTATATAACCCCATTATAGTAGTTTCCATGTTCTTTTGAATTATCCTACTGATTCATGCAGTTTTGCCAGCAGTTGTTCTGCGAGGCCAGAGCGAGTTCGCTCAAGGGGTCGAAAGTCGACGAACCAATGGAGATGGAGAGACGCGCCAGCACGTCAGAGATTCTCATGATTGTAATCTCTAAGGGTCCAAGGACCCAAACAATAGGGTTTTTGGGCCCAAATACTATAATGAGAATGGTATTTGGGCCCTAAAACCCTATTATTTGGGCCTTCTATACCCTTACATAATTCCCATATATCCCTATGTATCCCCCTAGAAACCCCTTTAAAGGGATTTGGGTCCCTGGACCCTTAGGGAATGAGCTGAGGCGATCGCGAGCGGCCGAGATGCCTCACTGTGATGTGAGCTATTCTCTAAACTCCGAGTATCCCTCTTAATAACCCCTATAGTAGTTCCCTATATAATCCCCTATATAACCCCCTTTAAAGGAGTTTAGACCATTGCTCATGTGAGAGTCATTGCATCGACATCGCCGAACAAGCTCGGCAAGCCGAGCCCACACAGTACAGCCCCAGGCGATGCGTCTCTTGGATGCTAACGGGAGGCATGATGTTAATCGGAATTCTGGGCGTGTTACGTGGATACGGTTGATGCTGAACATATTGCACGGCCCGCAGCACAACGTCAGCAGGGATAACCTCCGTGAAGTAATGGCTCAGGGTTTGTGGCGCAGGTTCTGGGGATCTTTGGTGCAGCTCCCACAGCTTGGGACGTTACATCGCAGAGTAAACGGGTCTATGTTGTTGTTATATACTGGACGTGTTGGAGCTGTGCACGCTAAAACCTTAACCCAAAGGGGCAGGGAAAACTGCCGCGTAGCGCTCTTAAGACTTGCAATGGGCACGTCTCCGCATGTTCAGCACTGGTCCGGCTACTTTCCCTCAGGATCCAGGTACATGTGTTGTATAGACTTGGGGGCCCAAGCGCCTCCTGCATGGCGACTTTGAGACACACCATTTTGATATGTGGACCCCTTGGATTCCGGGTATACTTCTCGAGATCTGTAACCCGCGGCTTCATGAAGCTTCATAAGCCTGATGACGCTGTCCAGAGGTACAGCAGCTGTGCGTTTCCTGGAAGAGGGTTCAGGATTAAGGCGCACTTCTGGTACCGTATCCTCAACCCTTAACCCCCTAAGCCTCCCAAAACCCAAAAAAGCCTAAGCAGGCCGTCTTGGAGGACCCTTGAGATGTTCCTGAAATGGTTGTGGCAAGGCCCCTGGAGGATGGAAGCCCAGCCACAAGAAAGCCCACTTGCACTGTGCGTGATCGTCTTCAGGTGGGAATGGAGGGCGCCAACCTTACACCCTAACCGGAGGGTTTGGGTGGCAACATGTGATATCTTGACAATAGATTCTTGAACAGCGTCGTGCGAGGGTCGCTCAGAGCGAGATGTGCCACCACCCACGCAGACGCTTGGGAGTGGGGTTTCGCCATCTGCGCATCAACGATCAGCCGTGCACGATGAGACACCCTACAGTTCCCCTTAAGTAGATAGACTATATAGGGTGTATGGGGATCTTATTATAATATACCCAAAGCCAGATTCTATCTACCTAGTTCAGGAGGACCACAATCGCTAGACAGCCAACCCGAATCCCTAAACCTTAAACCCAAAACTTGATCCCTACAGGGAGGGGCCCCTAGTTATAAGTTGGGTTATATGTTAGGATAACTACTATGGTTATAAGTTCCATAAGTTCTAGTTATAGGACTTATAATATTGGTTATGTAACTAGGGGGCCCCTCCTTGTAGACCCTACACCTGAAGCGGTCAAAGAGCGCTGCAGCAGTCAACTTGTCGAGCTCTGCCAGCTGAACTGTGCGTCGCAGCTTCCTTCCCAGCTGGGTCCATGGCGGTAACAGGGTTTAGTGTGTATAGGGATCAGGATTGAGGACTTAGGGTTTAGGGTGTAGGGGGGTTTTACCGTGACCACCTGCTTATACAGTGGCTTTGTAAGAATTATGCAGGGCACACTATAGGGATTATGCAAGGATTTTAGAGGGACCACCTGAATACGTAGGGATTATGCAGGGAGTATATATGGCAAGATGAAAGTTGGACACCACATATATACTCTCCCACTATTTCGGAGGAACCCTACACTGGGCCCTACACACACCCAAGAATTTCGGGGTAGCATCATCAAGCACTATAAGTCCCAAACGAAAACATCTTCCACCGCCGTCTGCTTTTAGGGGGCTTTATAGAGGCATTTGAAAGTACTCATAGGGTGTACACTATGTGTATACGGAACCCAGGATTCGACCCAAATAATAGGGCTTTAGGGCCCAAATACTATAACATTCATGGTATTTGGGCCCTAAAACCCTATTATTTGGGTCCTTGGACCCTTAGGGTAAGGGCTTGAGTTCCAGTCCCTAAACCCTAAACCCTAAACCTTCAGGGTTTAGGGCTTGTGCTTCTGCGCTGAATACAAGAGGAATCCATGTGGGACTTTGGTAGTAGCAATGGCAAGGCAGCTTGTAGAAGAAGTGTCTGATTCTTGGGTACCTCGAAAACCTAAACCTTAAGCCCTAAGCCCCAAACCCTAAATGCTACACCCTAATCGAACCTAAGCCCTAACCGAAAGAATGCCCTCTCAAAAGTTCCGGGCTTGGGTCTGCCATGCAACACACACGGTTGAGAGTTGATGTTAGGGATCCCTGTCCAAAATTCCTAACCGCGGATCTTCACGCGATCTAGGGTTTAGGGTCTTCTGGCTTAAATTTTTATCATTTGCATTAGGGATACAAATCTATAACTAATGCCTACACTGGGCCCTGAAGTCTATCAATAGCACCTGTCTTGGGCTATTCGGATCCCCAGGGTCAGGGTCAATGGGTTTAGGGTGTAGCGACGTAGGATGGGGAAAAGGGACTCAATTCTCAGAGCCAAGCCAAAAGCAAAAGACCAGAGTGTAGGGGGCCGTATTAACCCTTTACCCCTACCTAAACCATTCAAAAGTATGCAAAAAATAGCCCCAAACCCATAATAACAGCCATAAGGGCCATTATTTTACGTGCTTTTGGGGTCCAGGTAGGAATAACAACGAACCCCCCCAACACAATACGTACAAATACTTGTGAGGGGCGTTGTTTGTTACTGGGAAGGGTGGGTGGGTTCATGAGTGGGGAAGGCAATCGATTCGAGTTGGGTTAGGGACAAAACATACGATAGGTATGAGGGTCATGAAAAAGCAAAATGTTCGTAATCATTCAGGATTCTGCATGAAACACTCCATAAACCATCGATGAATTACCCACTTGGCATGCGATTTTCAGTGTTCCTTTCCATGTGCGTCTTCCATTCTACACTTATATACTCCCAAGAATCATACACCTTAAGCCCTAAACCTTATAACCCAATAAACGATTCCTAACCTGGACCCCCCCTGAACCCTCATCCCTATGGGTTTAGAATTAGTTTCTAAGGTTTAGAGTACCCAGGTAATCACGAAACATCTGCCAAGAGGCCAGGATAGTTCGGCGGCCAAAGTTGTGCGGACGATGCTGGGATGTCGTAGCATAGCCACCTCCAGGAACCCCACAAGCCCAAACAGTGGTTTAGGGTTTAGGGTGTAGGGGTGATTAGTAAACGCCCCTCCTTTTAAGGGCCTGAATAGGGTTTAGGGTTTAAGGTACCAGCCCCGTAAAATCGATAGAATATGGCTTTGGGTATATTATAATGGAAAAGAAAATGGAAGCTCCTATTTAGAGTTTCGGGCTTGGGTCCTAAAATTAGGGGTACTCTTTTAGGGGTCCCCATAATAAGGATTATAATATATTCGGTTCTATCTTGGGGTCCCCTTATTTTGGGAAGCTACAATATAGGCCGCAGGGCATGGGTTAGAGTTTATAGGGTTTGCGCGCCAATGTGTTCCTACAGATACTTTGGGGTCGAAATATATCCTTTAAGGTCCGAGTACCCAACAATCATATACACAGGCAAAATCTGTACTATAGATCGGTTTTTTTAAATACTTTATGAGGTACAGGGGTTCTAGGGAGGGTTTCCGAACTGAGGGGTCGAGGCTTGAGTCTCGTTGGTTCAAGGAGCTTCTGGTTTTTGCAAATGGGGAGTATAGTTGTAGGGAGCCCTAAAGGGTCCAAAGACCCAAATAATAGGATTTTAGAGCCCAAATACTATAATATCATTGGTATTGGAACCCTAAAATCCTATTATTTGGGTCCTTGGATCCTTAGGGGAAGGTTGCATGATAGCTACCCACCGTTCTGGCCAGATGAAAAAATCTCGCACTCAAAAGATACAGTGGAGAAAGGAGGCTTGGCGCCACTTACAATCATCCAAGTACCGTGACGCGGCTTAGGGTTTAGGGTGCTTAGGGTTTAGGGCTTAGGGCTTTAGGGTGCTCAGGGTTTAGGGTTTAGGGCTTAGGGCTGGCAACCCAGGGAATAAAGTGGGGTATCAGTATGCTTTCGAGTATCGTGTACCACCCTATATACCTAAGTTAAGACCAAGTTTTTGGTGATTTTTTCGGCACCTGCATTAAGCATATCATGGGTCTCCTTACTACCCTCCTCTATACTAGGTTCCCCCTTAGTTAGCCGTAATTAAGCCTAACTATCCCTAAGTAAACTTAATTAAGAGGAGAACCTACAAGGGTGGGGTAGTATGGATGGGGGTAGTAGGGGAACCCATGAGCATAGGTAGGTATCAACTCATTGCTGTCGCGCCACCTGCTCCTTTGCGTGGGCCTCGCTTGCGCGGCCGGAGCGCACGAGCTCGATAAACCTTAGCTGCAAGACCCTCTGAGGTTTAGGGTCTACCTAACGGCTCCATGTAGTTCCTTTTTGGGTTTGTTATTGTTTTCTGGTAAGGGATTATAATATGGTACGCCAAAAGGAACTACATAGGAGGGTCTGGGTAGGATTTAGAGCTACGAGGTGGGTGCGCTTATAGTTAATTCCGGAATTGGGCCCTACAATACTGACTTTGGGCTAGTTGGACTGCTAAACTGAAGCTTGTATGTGGGTACTGGGGCTCTACAAGGTCTATGCAAGCCTTCTATTGATGCTTTTCTGCGGCTACGAAGCTAACAACTGTCAACTTGCAATTCATCTTTTGAGATGACATTTTAATAGGTTGTCAAGATCATGGTCTTTTTTTGGCTCTCTACAAAAATAGAGCGTGCGTCTAACATTTGGGCTACCCAAGAAACCTGATTAAGGACTATAGGCCCTAAACCCCAAACTCTAAAACCTATATATGCTGTTCTTACCCATACCTACACCTAGAGTCCCCCTTAAGTAGATAGAATATGGCTTTGGGTATCTTATAATAAGACCCCATATACCCAATATTCTGTCTACTTAAGGGGGACTATAACCCTAAAACCCTAAACCCTATGCCCTAAACCCCAAACCCTCTATCTACTTAAGGGGGACTATACCTCCTAAAATAACTTGGGCCCCGGAGGTGCCGACATAGCTACTTTGGAGCCTAGGCATATGCTAACCATATGGGTCATAATCTAAACTCCTAGTATCCCTCTTGATGAACCCTAAAGTAATCCTCTATATAATATCTATAACCCCCCTTAAGGAGCTTAGACTATAGCACATCTAGCTACTTGGACCCTTTGGGTGTGTAGAGAATTTAGGGTTTAGAGCTGCCATGGCGAAACCCATTTCTCAACGTCACACAGGGAGGTGCCCCCAGTCGCAACTGGGGTTCTAAGTGGTTATGACGTGCATGTGTACGGTTATAGATACAAAAAATGAGGTGAAGGGAGTCGCAATATAGTTATGTGAATCCGTTCTGGTCGCTCTCGCACTGATACTTAAAACGTGACGCTATATAGACATGGGATCCAAAATGACACCCCAAACTTTGTTGGAGATTGGAGTCGTTTTTCAGCTTCGCCTACCTATTGATTTTTTGACGCAACAGAAACCAAGAAGCTGCCCAACAATAACTTGAGATGGACCTGTTAGCTGTGGGAAACTCTATGCAATGGCATTTTGGGTAGGATGCCCGGACTCCAGGACAGTCAAAGTGAGGGTGACCTATTCACCTACTTAGGAAAGCCTTCTTAGAATTAGTATACTCAATAGATCTTTCCTTTCCAGTATATTGCCTTCCACCTGTCTCTTCTAGAGTTAGGGTGTAAGGTTTAGCGGATTTTCTACGAGAGCTAGGCTGATCACCACTGGTATAGAAAACTGAGGAATATCACGAGGTTCAAACATGGGGTTCTCTGTACTTAGAGGCACTATAGACCCCTATGCGGGTTTCCGATGTCGTTTTCAATGGTCTTTTCCTTCTGTCCACGTGATTCTGCATTCTTCCCTAGCGCTGAACCCTATACATCCCCACATAATGAACCCCTCAAGCCCTGAACCGTAAACTCTAAACTCTCAACCCTAGATCTTTGTTACTTATAACCCTAAACCCCATATACCTTGTAATTTCATCCTAACCCCCATAATTTGCAATTTAATCCTGAACCCCATACATTGTAATCTAATCCTAAACCGTATAACTTGCAGTGTATAATCCTGAGCCCTATACCTTGCAATTTCATCCTAAACCTTATAACTTGTATCTTAATCCTGAGCCCTATAGCGTGTAATTCAATTCTAAACCTATAATTGACCCAAAACCCAAAACCCTAAATCCTAAACCCTACACCCTAATCCTAAACCCTGAACTCTAAATCCTAAATCCTAGACCCTAAACCCTAAATCCTAAACCCTACATCCTAAATCCTAAAACCCTAAACCCTAAACCCTAAACCCACCCTCGCTGAATATGGGTCCAAGGAGCTCCGTGAGCTCGGAGCGATAAGCCTTTCCAGTATCTTTTTTGGGGATGGTAGGGTTTAGGGTCTAGGGTTTAGGGCTTAGGGCTTAGGGTTTAGGACCCTATAATGGAGAATCAAATGAGAAAGATCATGGAACATGAAATGGAAACTGGGATGATATAGGGGTTGCTTGAGTAGTATTTTACCCCGTCAAGGCATGGGTGGTGTTCTATGTTGATTGGGGTCTAGGGTGTAGGAGTTTAGGGTGTAGGGGTTTAGGGTTTAGAGGTTTAGGGGTTTAGGGATAAGGCATGGTGTTCTATGCTGATTAGGGTCTAGGGTGTAGGGGTTAAGGGTTTAGGTGATTAGGGTCTACCTGAACCCCAAAGGTACGTAGAATAACTGCCTTGTGGGCTGCTTTTAGAGAAGTTGGGTCATTATTTTGCCTAGTTTTGGGGTCCGGGTAGGGTTTAGGGTTTTAAGGTTCTAGGGGTTTGGATTTAGGTGATTAGGGTCTAGGGTTTAGGATTTGGGGGTTAGGGTTTAGGTGGTTAGAGCCTATGTGGGTGTTAGGGTTTAGGGTTTAGCATTTGGGCGGGCAAGGGACTCTTTGCTCAACAAAGACATCTCAAATTCTAGATCAAATACATCATGCCATGTAGACCTTCCACGAAGAGAGCGAAAACAAAAAAAAAAAACGAGTGAACTTAAAAACAGACCAACCCCCCGGTTTAGGACTTGGAGGGCCCGTGCAAGCGTTTAGGGTTTAGGGGTTTAGGGGCTTAGGGTTCTAGGGTTTAGGGGAATTAAATCTTAGGCTGCAAGTCCGTACACTACCAGCCCCTTGAAGGGGCTAATTGCGGAATGCTTGCGGCTCATCGCGCGCTTTTTAGGGACTGCTGATCTTACAGGTTGGTGCGCTCCAGCTACATAACTCATTCACTTCTACATCCTAAACCCTAAACCCTAAACCCTAACCCTTAACCCTAAGCCCCTAAGCCCCTAAACCCCTAAACCCTATTATTCATTCACTTCTACATCCAATAGCTACTTTCAACTTATGGGATTTGTGATCATACTTATCTTCGTTATAGCTCACTCACCAGGCCACCGATAACTAGCCCCCCGCTTGTAAGCTAAATTCTAGAGCTAGTTACTTTAAACCCGACAACCTATACTACAAGGGCCAGAGTATTGTCAATATCATGGTCCGGGTTCCTTGTATACATAACGGATAGGGTAAGCCAAATAGACTGCTGTACTAGCCTCCTCCATAGTGACTTCCAACAACAAAGCAAAAGCAGTGACCGGTGCTTCACGCTTCACAGGAGGACTGCCTCAGAATCGCCTAAATTTATCGGTTTTACCCAGACCCTCCTATGTAGTTCCTTTTTGGGTAATATAGCATAATCCCTTACCAAAAAAACCGTAACAGACCCAAAAAGGAACTACATAGGAGCCCTTGGGTAGGCTAAACACCGCAAGCGAACACCCCGAAACCCTTACCGCAGACAGTTGAGACCCTAAACCCTAAACCCGATGTCTTGCGACCAGCTTCCCCACCCCTAGAACTGTCACCCGCACTCAGACAGCATGTAGTCCTAGCCTAAATTTGTGGTATATCCCTTAATAGGTCCCCCCAAAAACCCTATATAGTCCCCCACAGGTCCCCCCCAACCTAAATTTCGTCCGTAGCTCATGTAGTCCTAGCCCGGAGGGTAGAAGTAGCCAATAATTTGCTGCTTGGGCTTTCGTAACAGTAATGGTGGTACAGGTTTGGAGTGTGTATAAGATTATTGGGCATTTGGACCCCTAGG